AGGATTGTAAACGAGGTTGACGGCGTGTGTCGCGTGGTTTACGACAGTAAGCTTTTTGCAGAGGAACACCGGGCTACATTTGCTGACGAGACACAGTTACGAGCAAGCCCCCGGGAACGATTGAGATGGAGTAGAAATGAAGCACCACGAGGAAAATGGGTTGGATTTGAATGGGCGTTTGGGGATTTGGGATGGCTTTTAGACACATGTAGAACATGCCGCGTGGTGGCACCACAGCAATGCAAACGTCTCGATACCCAGGCCAGGGGCAGCATCAGCATCGTCATCAGCGCCAATGGGCACGGTAGCGGATCGACATGAAGGGACAGGACCCAGACGTAGGAGCGGGGACGGGTTGACGCCATTGACCTGCATTCCCGGTCCTTGGCGGGGGCCCGATGGATGGTCGACCTGTGACGTCAGTGCCAGGACAGCATCTTAAATATGGCGTTTGGCTTGCACACGTCTTACATCTCAGTATCACACACAACTCTCTCTCAAACTCTCAGCAACTCTACACAAGTCACGAAATCTTCCATTTCCAACAACCAACACACTTCCAACAAACATCATGTCTTCCAACGTCGGCTCCCACAACATCTACGAGGATGGCGACCAGCGCAACTACAAACAGAGCGAGATCAACGAGATGAATGAAGCCCAGAGGTTCAAGGAGGGTCAGGCCAACAGCCACCTGTCTCTCGACTCCAGTAAGTCATCTATGAAGCTTCCCGCGGTTGGACACCATCCTAACAGTTCTCTTGCAGAGGACGAGCGCTCAATTGCCAACAAGCTCGCCCGCGAGGAGCACCGTCACAAGGAGTCGGAGCCCAAGGACTTTGAGAAGGTTCAGCTTGAGCACGACGCCAGACTACCGGTATGTAGAGACTACCGCTCACCACCAAGTCACCAAGCTAATACTAACTTTTGCGCAGGCCGCGTCCCACGGCAACAACCCGAGCAAGGGTGCTAAGATCGACCAGGAGCTCCGCGAGGAGGACGAGGCTGCCGCTTCGCACAAGGGCTCCTGGGGCTCGAAGAAGCAATAAGCCAGATACCGTATACATGATGTAACAAAAAGGCGTCTGGGATGGGTCAAGGCATTAGGAGTTGCAAGATGCTGGATACCTGAGATCTAATGACATGATGACATTTTCCACATCCACATCGAAATCACCAATATGTTGTGCATGCAATGTGTTGAAAAACGATGACGCGAACTGGTTGAGAACTGGAGACAGGAGTTTGATGCCCCACCAACGTGCCCCGCCCTTGGATGCGAACATTGAGCAATGACATAATGTCGACGATCGATGTGCTAGTCCGGATTTGGACATTGAATTGATGTCTTGGTATCCACGCGCCCAACGCGTCGGATACGCGTGTCGCGCCCCTCAGCCGAATTTTAGCGCCAAACTCACCTCTCTGAACTTGCCCTGCGCTTTCCCTCGACACCTCCACCACCATCACCCATCCGACCCTACCGAACGTCGCCCACCATGTCTTCCTTGGTCGACGCTGTAATCGACTCCGAAATTGATCTCAATGCGCCAACCCCCACTCCGAGCGAGGGAGCTCCCGGCGCACGGCAACCCAATGGCCGTTCCTCTTCGCGTCCCAGAGGGCCTCCGTCGGACAGCGCAGGACCCAATAGCGAAGCAAACATTCGCGATGACGATCTTGCAGGCTCTCGGACTACCGTGAGAAGAGCAGCTGGGCCACGACAGGATATTCCTAAGGTGGTGGACGTGACTGGTGAGACTTTGAGCCAGAGATTCGAGGAGTTTTTGGAATCGTAAGTATTGCCCTGGACAAGAGAAACACGACCCGCTGACCCCAATCAGATACAGGGTAGAACCGCAGCCAGTCTCTTCGGGAGTCCCGGCATCCAGCGTACAGACCACCGACAGGTATTACGTTTCCCAAGTCCACGGGCTCCGATCCTACAATTTATCGACTCTCTATGTCGACTTCAACCACCTCATGCAACATGAAGAAGGCGTCCTGGGAGCGGCAATTGCGGACGAATACTATCGTTTCCTGCCGTACATGACGCGGGCCATGCACAATCTCATCGCAAAGCACGAGCCGCAATACTTTAGGGACCATCGGCAACCAAACTATTCGGCCTCTAGTGTCGCCGCGACGAATCCAAGTTCTACTGGCGAAACGATTGACTCGTTGGGCGACACATTCGAGTCAAAGACCCCCCACCAGCAGACGGACAAGCTGTTTACCCTGGCTTTTTACAACCTCCCGCTTGTATCAAGAATTAGGCAGTTGCGGACGTCTTCGATTGGAAGGCTTCTGTCGATATCCGGAACAGTTACAAGGACTTCAGAAGTCCGACCAGAGCTCTCCCTCGCAACATTTGTTTGCGAAATCTGCAACACGATTATTCCCAACATCGAGCAAACGTTCCGATACACGGAACCGACACAATGCCCAAATTTGACGTGTGGTAACAGGACAGCTTGGCGTCTGGACATTCGGCAAAGCACTTTTGTCGACTGGCAAAAGGTGCGCATCCAGGAAAACAGCTCGGAAATTCCCACAGGAAGCATGCCACGAACTCTCGATGTTATCTTGCGCGGCGAGATTGTGGATCGTGCCAAAGCTGGTGAAAAGTGCATCTTTACCGGCACGCCTATCGTCATCCCAGATGTCAGCCAGTTCAGAGTCCCCGGAATCCGACCTCAAGCGACGAAAGACTTGAATGGTCAACGTGGCACAGATGTCGGCGGGAATGGAGTTTCTGGTCTCAAGGCTCTCGGAGTGAGGGATCTGACATACAGATTGGCCTTCATGGCCTGCATGGTGACACCGGATACTTCGACTCCTGGTCAAGCTTCCACTCAAGAGCTTCACGGCCAAGCAGGCAATATTCTTCAATCGCTCAACCAGATTGGGCCCACTGACAATTATTTGCGTCTTTCCTCCGAACAGGCGCAGTCCGAGCTTTTGGCTACCATGACACCAGCCGAAATCGAAGACCTCAAGAGCATGGTGCACGGCGACAACATGTTCATGCGACTTGTCGACTCCATTGCACCCATGGTGTACGGCCATTCCGTCATCAAGAAGGGCCTGTTACTGCAACTGATGGGCGGTGTTAGCAAAGTCACGCCCGAAGGCATGGCGCTCCGTGGCGACATCAACATTTGCATCGTCGGCGATCCCAGTACCTCCAAGTCGCAGTTTCTCAAGTATATCTGCAGTTTTTTGCCGCGGTCTGTCTACACCTCTGGTAAAGCATCTTCGGCTGCTGGTCTGACGGCCGCCGTGGTCAAGGACGAGGAGACTGGAGACTTTACAATTGAGGCTGGTGCTCTGATGCTGGCGGACAACGGCATCTGTGCGATTGATGAATTCGACAAGATGGACATCGTCGACCAGGTTGCTATTCACGAAGCCATGGAGCAGCAGACAATTTCGATTGCCAAAGCAGGTATTCAGGCTACGTTGAACGCACGTACATCAATTCTTGCAGCGGCAAATCCAGTCGGCGGTCGTTACAACCGCAAGACTACCCTCCGCGCAAATGTCAACATGAGCGCCCCCATCATGTCCCGTTTTGACTTGTTCTTCGTCGTCCTTGACGAGTGCGAGGAGAGCGTCGACCGCCACCTTGCCGAACACATTGTCAACATCCACCGACTTCGCGACGACGCCGTCGAGCCGGAATTCAGCACTGCCCAGCTGCAGCGCTACATTCGCTTCGCTCAGACCTTTAAGCCGGAATTCACCCCTGAGGCCAAGGAATATCTCGTTGAAAAGTACAAGGAGCTCCGCGCCGACGACGCTCAGGGCGGTATCGGCCGCAACAGCTACCGCATCACCGTCCGTCAACTCGAATCCATGATTCGTCTGTCCGAAGCCATTGCAAAGGCCAACTGCGTCGAAGAAGTCACGCCCGAGTTTGTGCGCGAAGCGTACAACCTGCTGCGGCAGAGCATCATCTCCGTCGAAAAGGACGACATCGAGGTTGAAGACGACGAGCCGGCGGCGCAAGACGCGCAGCCGGGCGCCAACGCTGTCGACGAAGAAATGGCCGATGCGGGCGGCGAGAACGCTGCCCCTGCTGCTCCTGCCGTGCCTGCTGAAGTCGTGCCGCCAGCTCAGCGAAAGATCACCATCACTTACGACAAGTACATGTCGATCCTCAACCTCATGGTGCAGCGCATCAACCAGGACGCGGCGACAGCCGAGGACGGCGTCGAGGAGAATGAGCTCCTCATCTGGTACCTCGAGCAAAAAGAGGCTGAGATTGAGACGCAGCAGGATATGGAGATTGAGAAGGTGTTGGCCAGGAAGGTCTTGAAGCGCATGGTTCGGGTGAGTAACGGCAACACGGAGTCCCCTGATTATGGTCGAGGCAGAGCTAACTTCTTTTGCGCAGGAAAACATTCTCATGATGTTCGCTGGCGAGGGTCTTGCCGACGAGAACGGCCAAGGCTTGGTCAGCGATACCGTCATGTACGTCATGCACCCCAACTGCGCGATGGAGGAGATGTAAAGCACCCGTGTGTAAAAGAAGCGACGAGAAATCAAATGGGCAACGATGATGGGCTTTTTGGGTCTGGGCGACGACTCCGGCTCTTGGGGTTTAAACGGCGTTTGGAGCGCTCAGGGGTTGGGTGATACCAAGATATATCTATGACGGCACTGTTTCGCCAATCAATGAATGCCACTGCTGTGTTTCGACGGATTATTGCACTGGCCAGGAGTGGCAAGATACTCTCCGAGATAGTCCTGTCACTGTGGTTCTCTATAACTATCACATCTTCCGCTCCCCTTCTCATATATCAGCAAAGATGAGAGTAGTGTAGAATGGCGTATTTGTCTGGAGACTTGAGCTCAACTCTTAGGAATGAAACGGGCGAGTATCTTTTGCCGTTCAGGAAGCAAAGGAAGGAACTGCGTTTTGACGGCCCGTAGAGATGCTTGGCGGGTGTGTATTCCGCCGTATCGCCAAGCTCTCTTCAACAACAGGCAATTAGTCCATCGTGGTGCAGTGGTAGCACGCCAGACCATACACGTTGGTGCGCCGCATCGCTTACGAGCATGCCGCGTCGGTTCTTGATCCGTCAATGTCTCGCATATTGACCGTGATCGGGATAAGTAAGATGCGAGTAGCGCAGAACGGAATCATGTCAGTCTGGAGGCCCGAGTTCGACTCTCGGCGACGGAATGTGTCTGTTTTTTCCTTTGTCGGATGGTGGTGGATGTCGTGGAGCTCTGGTTATTTTGCGGAAACCTGCTTCGAGGGGTGGACAGGGGGCTAGCCTCACACTTTACTGATGCTCATTGAGCGATAAGGGAGGTGGTGGTTCATCATCGGCGAGTACAGATCGTCATGATAGGGAAAGTTGAGGGCGTATTTGCTTGATCGAGGCGGAAAGGAAAAAGTAAGACGTCTTGAGAGTCACCCGGGGCCGTAGAGCTAGATGTGAATAGTTTGAATTCAAGGAAAGAAGTCAGAAAACTGTAAACAAGCCGTACCATACCGCTCACCATAACGCCATCAGTGCCCCCTAAAACAATCACACCTGTCATCCAAGGCTACAGCGAGCATCATTTTGATATCATCCCCTCATCTCATCTTTGAGCGCGTAGCCCTCTTCACCCAGATGTCCCAACAAGAAGCTGCGCTTGAAGTATTCGTTCGGATGGAGAATCGTGTCGAGTTGAGCGCCACTCCACGTGCCATCATCCTTCACTTTCTTAATCTCATTGCGATGCTTGTACTCAAACACGCGATTGCACGCAATGTGGTACCGCTGTCGCTTGACATCGTCTCGCACTTCGTTGAGCGTCTGCCTGTCATTGATGCCCGTGTGTTGGAGAAGGCCGATCAAGTTATCTGGCGCAAATGTGCGGTAAGGGCAGCCATGAGTCTGGTTGGGCCCGGGCAACGCCTCCGTCATCAGTTTCTGGCACGAGTACGGCGTGTAACCGCCACCCCGCCGGTTCGCATCTCCACCTACGTCGCCGTAGGCGTGGCGCACATTGTAGCGGTACTCTTTGTTGAACTTCTCGTCGGTGAAGAGCTTGAAGCTGCGTCGCCAAAAGATGAGACACTCTTCCAAGCTGAGACCTATTCCTTTGAGGAACAGTGTGTACTGAAGTCGTCCAAAGTGTTTGAGGTGCGAGTTTTGCCGCAGCGTGCGGTGGAGGTGCTGCATGCAAAGAGGGAAGTGTTGACTGAGGGCGTCGACGGACGCAGCAGTGGGAGTGGTGAGGCCATCAAGGGCAGTGTCGGAGGAGTATGCGGTCTCGGGGGCTGTAAAGCTCGTGCTCAAGTGCGAGAGAATCGGCGACAGGCGGTCGTCTTCGTCGAGCCGAGGGAGTGCGCGGGCAGTGAGCTGATACTATTAGTTTGCTGTTGGCTTGCAAGTTGGAGATACGCACCTCCATCGCCTGCTCCAATCTTCTGCTGAATTCAGCCAGCACAAGACTGCTTTGCTCCCGCACGGGTACGTAAGCCTTGCCCCTCTTCAAGAGCACCTTTCTTTGTTCGACCAGTTCCGGGACCTTTTCCCAGTCCACCTTGAACCAGCCGTCTTCCTCTCCTTTGCTTTTGCCCCATGGTGTTGCAGCTCTGAGCTCCTCGCCAAACGACTTCCTCTCCTCTTCGGTCACCTTTTCCCACTCACTGCCCATGTCCAAAGAGTCTACAAAGTCTCTTCGTTCACGCGTGTCGTCCTCATTCCATCTTAGACGAAACAGTGTGGTTTCCAGGCGAACGAACCGGCGGCGGAGGTCTTCGGTCGCAGAAAATGCCAGGCGCAGGATGAAATGTGAATAGTGGTCCTTCTTCCTTTGCGCGTCTAGCTGAGTCGAGCGGCTGCTGTTTGACTGTAGTGGGAGATGTTTTTCAAGGATGGGCTTCATGTAGGATGTTGTCTCTTCGGGACCACGGTTGCGAAACGAACAGGCTTCGAGTTCCGACAAGACTGCACACTGGTTAGTGGTCTTCTTAGGACAGAGCGCTTCGTAATAGTCTGTCCTTCAGGGACAGAGCCGCCAGACTCGGTTTACTGACCCTTGAGACGCGCGATTGCCCATTCTTCGAACTCTTCGAGTGTGATCTCGGCCGTGGGTGGTATGGTGTAAAAGTTGAGGCGGTGCTTGTATTCGTGGTCCCTCCATTTGGGAGCCGCAAACTGGCGTTTCTTGTAGTCGAGGTCGGTGCGGCGCTTGGCGTCGATGCGAGCGACAGATGAACGCTGCATTTTCTCGAGAGCAAGGTCAATCAATCAAAGGTCTCGACTTCGTTGGCGCGGGAAGAGTGTTGGGTGTGTAGGTTGGAGCAGAAGTGGTGGTTGACGCGAGACGCGTCGCTCGGTGCATGCACCGCGTCTTTGCCGACGCGCTAAATGGATCCCTGTCCGAGGCAGCCAGCCAATTCGGTCGAACCTATTGGTGCATCTCCTTCCACCACACTCTAACCCGCTACTCTATATGCTTGATCTAAATGCACGAATCTATCCTCCTCTATAATGCGCTGTACATCTATCCCAGCAAGTCGCCCAGCTTGTCCGCATAGAAAGCCGGCTTGACTCCAGTCCCATCTCCCTCGCCCAAAAAGTCCTCCTTCTTGTTCACACCACTCAGCACAGCCAGAGTTCCGCCCAGCAGGCCTTCGATGCCAAAGCGAATGTCGGTGTTGAGACGGTCGCCAATCATGCATGTCCTGCTGCGATCGAATTTGAATTTACCCTCAACCGCGTCCATCATAGCCTGGCTTGGCTTTCCAAGAGCCAACGGCGATTTCCCCGAGGCTGTCACCAAAGGCGCTCCAATGGATCCAGCCCCCGGGAACAAGGTGTGCGCCATGGGGAGTGTAGAGTCGGTGTTTGTTGCCAAAAACGTGGCACCCCTCTTCAAGTACCCAAAGGCGTGCGCCAACTTCAAATAGTTGACGTGAAAGTCGAGACCGGCGAGGACGATCCCAACATCAGGATCGAGAGCAGAGCCATCGGCAATGTTGGTGAAGTCCTCAGGCTCAATATCGCGGCGAAGGGAGGCATCTGTACCGCCGATGAAGGGCACGTTTTCGGCGCGGAGTTCCTCTTCGATGCCAGACTCCCCCAACACAAAGACCTTGTTCTTGGGAGCCGGAAGCTTGAGGATTCGCGCAATGTACACCGCAGCGCTGTACGCGGAGCCAAAGACCTCGTCCTAACTCATGTCAGCAGCCTAAAATACAGGCGTTGCCGGAATCCACTGGTATGTCGTTTTCTGAGACACGTACCACCGTCACAGGCACGCCGAGTTTGTCAAACTTCTTCTTGTAGTCTGCGCGGCTCTTTGTGCTGTTGTTCGTCACAAACACAAGTTGCTTCCCTGCAGTGTTGATTAGCAGGTCAGACTCTAGGCAAGCATACCTTTCCCGACGCTCACCTTTGCTGCGAAGCATTTCCAAAGTTTCTGCGGTTCGAGGAAAGATGTGATCACCAGACCATAGCACACCTATCCTTCATGCGATTAGTCCAGTGGTCCGAGGCGCTCCTAGCCATGTCGGCTCTCAAAACTGTGTATTCTCTGCGCAGGCGCGTTGCTTTGGCTGCCGTATTTCGGCGCGGGACTGGGTCGAGGGAATGCGCGTACCGTCACAGTCGAATAGGAAGGTCTGGGTGAAGTCTTTTAGTCCATGGTTCTTGGTGTCAGAATGGTTTGAGAAGCAATGTGTGACGCACATCAAACTTGGCAAGGAATTCCTCGATGGCCGGCTGGTCGCCGGTCAAATATCTTGGCTCCCCCATTGCGACGGATGTTGATTCTCAAATCGAGCGTGTTGAGGTGTTGAGTGGAAAGATGTCAGGCTAAACTGCCCGAGGACTTCACAGTCCGCCGACGGCAGCAGATCCCTGGTGGGGCCCGCTGACGTGATGGGGTCCGATCGGAGCTCACCCAGTTCCATTGTTCGACTCGTTTCAACCCCTGCAGACCCTGGGATTTTATTCCAACACACCACGCAAGTGCACGCTGATAGTCATGAGACCTTCAAGTGGTTCTCGTTTATTCGCTACTCGAGTTGACTTCCTCTATTGGATCTGTTTCTGACCCCGAGGCCCTCGCCTGTCCCTGTCCATCGTAGCTTGTTTTGCGAAAGATTCCAACAAATCCACCAATGTTGCTTGTTGTCAGTTTCGGCCTGCAAACGACCCTCCACTTCTCACTGGTGGCAGACTCGATGGACAGTCCTTCTAGGCTGTCTGGCGCGGATTCTGCTTCAACCGAGGGCGCTTCTGGATTCTGCTCCTCCGTTTTGGGCTCTGCCTCATCAACATCGTCGTTCCATTCGTTTGCCTTTGCCAGCTGTTTTTGGAACGAAACGTTATCGGCCGCGGCGGCTGATGTGTTTTTGGCAGTCTTCGTCTCTTTCAGGAGTTTGATTTCCCATGGTCTCGCGGTCTGACCGCCCCTCAATTCGGCCACATGTTCCAGTGCCAAAGGCAGTCGCGATTCTTTGATCGCTTTCAAACAGTCAGCAATTTGCGTTATGCTGGGATTAAACACTGCAAGAATGCCATCGACCTGGAGAGCACGAGCGACAGAGGGAAGATGGCCTTCTGAGGCTGGGAGATCGAGGAAGACACGCGACAAGAATGGCTCAGGCTCATCTGCGCTCGAGTCGGACGACTGTGGTTTGGGCATGGACTCCAGGCGCCTCTCAATCCATCGCGTTACGTCACCCAAGTGAAAGTCGACGTGACGGGCATAAAGGCCGTGTCGAAAGTGTTTCACGATTTGGCGGGCATGCACCATGTTGCGGCGCTTTGCCTCGACCGTGTGGACGACGGCTCGTCGCTTTCTCTTCCACGCCTCGAAGGTATCTTCGTTCGAAATTTCAACGAGAGAAGAGTCGTATGTCGCATCTTCGGACGGATCTTCAGCGTCTGGCGAGGGCTGGACCGCTTCAGGGGCTTTGGGTAGTGGTGGGTTCGCAGCATGTATAGCCCTAGCAAGGTGTAGAGTCACTCCACCATGACCAGTGCCAGCTTCCAAAACCTCCAGTGGGGGAGTGGAGGCATTCTCTTGGCTGGGTGGGTCGACGTGTATGTCCATCAACCCCACAATAACATTGGCGTCATCGTGGTATATCTGGACAGGCCCGGGTCAGCGCGACCGCGGAGAGATGGACATGGCGTGCAGTGAACGACGAACAGGAGTGGCAATCCGCGG